CACTATTATTTCGTATTTTTGGGTTTCTATGGTCAGTCGAGGTATTTCTGGTTCGGAAAACATTTTCTTATCTACCATCATCACCTGTGGTGAATACTAATATTTTCCTTCATTTACAGTTATTTTTACGTTTTCGCTTCCCCAGACGACCTCAATATNAGATAGGGCAAGTGCGGCCGCGACATCTTCTTACTACTATGTAGAGCATATTCGCTGCGATCATTTTAGAAACTCAATTTTTTCCTAGCGGCCCGGTGTGAGGGCACAAGCTCTTACCTTTCTCGCTTTTTCTTCAGACAGACCTTGTTTCTGCATGATAGTCGTTGAAATGGCGCCAGGGCTGCAAGAAAAGCTATTAGCGTTCAGAACTGCCGAGCTGTTGTGATCTCGAAAATAGCTGTTCCAAGTGGGTGATTAGCGCCAAAGGTTTTAAGAGGAAGATAACCACATATAATAGTAAAAAAAAAGCCATGGAGGATCTCGATCTTACAGTTGAGCTGATGTGATTATGAGGGCGACGGGAAAGTTCCTGCCAGAAATAGATTATGAGGGAACCATTTTGCAAGCCTTCTTAAACTACCATAAAAGGGTACTAGCCTCCTGTATGCGCTCTCTTTTCTTTGCTTATTCAACCCTGTAATGACAAACTGTCTTCTCATAATCGACACGCACTCCTTTATGTGTTCAAATCCATCCAGTCCGCTGTCTGGATTTTTTGAAACCTATTCCCACTATTAGGCCCTGAAACTCCTTCTCAGTGGTCCATGCGCTCCTGGTTCAAACGCTCGTAACAATATACTCAACAAGATACTCTAACTTTCGCTCTCATCCAGTGAGTGCGACATCGTCCGATGCACTAAAGAAATTGAGAATCAGAAAACTGCGTGGCAACGTCTTTGAACATTATTTTTATCTCAATTTCCAAAATTTTGCGAGAAATCTGATTTTTCGAAGTATTTTTGAAGTTTCTTCCGATTGTCCCAGTATCATTTCACTATTATTTCGTATTTTTGGGTTTCTATGGTCAGTCGAGGTATTTCAGGTTCGGAAACATTTTCTTATCTACCATCATCACCTATGGTGAATACTAATATTTTTCTTAATTTACAGTTATTTCTACGTTTTTGCTTCCCCAGACGACCTCGATATTCCTAAGAGCCTTAGCGAACAACAAAACAATGTTGGTTATAGTGCGAGCCTGTGAGAACTAACTTCACTGAGTTGACTCTGACTCCATCTGCGATGTATTTGACAGCCAAAGATTTGGTCAGCTGTTCAAGTGCTGCTTTCGACATACTGTAGTAGGGCAGTCCTGGGAGCTGAACAAGAAATATAAATTGCTGAGCAGTTCATTCAAACCGACAAAAGAATTTTCAAGTAATACTTGTAACTAACCGCAAATGGTAGTCCCGCAATACTGCTGACCATAACGATCTCTCCCTTTGTTGCAATGAGGTGTGGAAGAGCACGTTTTGTAAGCGAGAGTACACTGAATGTTGAAGAAGGTAATTTTGAAAAGCTGAAGTTTCATGATCAGATGAAGTTTTGTACGAACACTTTAGTATTGAGATTCATAACGTAGTCGTAAGTTTCCATGGTCTGATCAAAACCATTTGCTAATGTGTTCGATGGAGCTGTGCCACCTGCATTGTTAACCTGGAAAGCATCAGGTTCCGGTCAATCTTTTTTCATAGTATAGTATAGTATAGTATAAGTGCATGTAGTACATATTTGGTGAATAAACAGTATTTGCGGTAGTAACTCTGGGGAGGTTAAGGCACTGGGTGGACTCTGTAGCAGAATGGCCATAGCCCCCACCCATTCTTTTCTCTGCCTACGGTAACCATCCACTATAAATTCGAATCTTAACCTTACCCTGCGCACTCCGTCATGCTGCGCGTGCAGTAACCTCGTTTGGATCAAAGATCTCACACCTGACGTGACGCGAAAAGTAAAAAGGAATTGCTGAGCGAAAGAGCACTCCCTACGACCTCTGCAAATTGTATTTTCTCAGCGATCCGTCTGAGTGAGCGAAATCCGTTCGATTGCAAACTCCAGTTATTTGTTGACTTCGATGAAGTATTACAGTAATATGGTGACAATCTCTGGCTTTCAGACAGCGAAACAACTGACTACGTCAGCTCAATCACCTAAGCTACATGCGAGACGATCAACTGACTGTGCTTTCTCCCGACGAATCGGAAAACGCTCAGCTGTAGAGTTTCGTGCGAGCGAGCACAAAATAACCATTAGAGTATGTACTGGTTGGGAATCCCTGACGACATGCCGCAATGTGAGACAACTAGCTAAAAAACGCAGCGCACTGTCGGAAGGAGTGAATCGGAGCGTTCATGCCTTTGCTGGGATTCAAGCTGAAAAAGGTATACATCAAGTTTTCCGATTTCTGCACTAATCCACCACAGCCCTCTATAAGTCTGGTTCTTGCTCTAGTATGTTACCGATTTTTTTTTCAACATTCTTTTCTGCTCCATTCCCACTTTGCCGTAGCCGGACCACCAGGACATTGGACCCATCGGAGTCGCAGTTTGATTACTTGCTTGTAAAACAAACAAAAACTGATCATCGGAACCTACTAGAATATCGATTTTTCCAAACTGCTCGATAGTAGCATCGATAATCTTCTTCTGAATGACTTCATCAATCAAATCTCCCTGTACAGCCACGATATCGTCCTTCTTTGCGCCCACAGCTTGCATTTCTTTTCGTGTTTCCTGAAAAGTGGTAATGATCGAGATCGAGCTTCAGCTATTGAAGACCGTTATTCGTTATCAGATCAATGCCAGCCTACCGCAAGTGCTTTGTCATCTCGCCCTGTAATCGTGACTTTTGCACCCTCTTCAGCGAAAAGCACTGCTGTTGCCCGTCCGATACCGTTGCTCGAGCCTTATGAGTAGAATTAAGCAAAGTCTTCTCTCAACTGAGCCATATTTTTTACCTGTTACAATTACTACTTTGCCCCCGAAACGTCCAACCATTTTCTCTGAAAAATGCAACTAAGAATAGCGATCGGAAAGGCAATGTTCGAAGATGTACTTCCCATCCAAATTTGTACTCATACTATTTCAAAAGAAGTTGAATTAAGAAAACTTCAGTGGTAACACAAAGGCATCATGAATAATAACAATCATCTGTGAAGGGAAATGAACACGAAATATCAGAAAGATCTGCTTGAGCACCTATACACCTGGATATGTGAGGGTATATGAGCTTTCAACCCTTCTTTGAGAAACTGAGCAAGAGCACCTAGTAATTAGAAGGGCTCGCCAAGGAAAAAAGCGAGATCCAGGGCGACGAATTGAGGTGCGGCGGGACAACTAGCTAAAACATGTTACGCTCCAAGTCAACTATCAAATTGTAAGGTTCGTCAGGAGCACCTAATCGCGTCAAAGAAAAGGTGGTACGAGAGGTTGTGACTACATATACCGCATTTTTCTGGCATAGCTTATAAAGTTAACACTCCTCCGAGCTCCATTTCCCTTTAAAGATTTCTTTTTGAGAAAATGTACGAGGGTATAGTGTAAAAGACTTTGAAAAAAACTAAATTTCCTTCGAAGCCGACGCATATAGATCGCGAATTCACTTTTTGTGACCGTGAAAGTTTTTTCTTTCAACAACATCGATCAAGAGTATATACCTAATTATTACGTCGCTATTTTGGATTGTTCCTGAATAATAGAAGAGCTTTGCCACAAACAACTAAGGAACTAACTTTTCAGAGTAAGAGACCGTGAATGGCACAATTCATCAGAAAATGAGCTTCAAAACGTGCGATTAGTCGGCCTCTACACTGATAAGCGTGAGTCCATGCTCGACTAGTGTCGATAAGCTGTAACTTGTGCCTTGCAACTTTGAACCCTTTCAGTTGAATCACCTGTCGAACCGTTGATCAAATGTTCCTTAGAAGTCCTCGAGAAACATTTTCATTTGTTGTTGTGACAAATCGAAACAGTCCAGTGGGCTCTCCTTTCTTTTCTTGATGACGGCTTCTATCTGACCACCGATTTGCCTAAAATTCTGATCTTTGCTTGACGTACAAGGACCCAGCCGATGAAACTTCTGGTCGAGCAGCCATTACAAATTTGCATGGCGCGTACGGCTCACCTCACGACCCGTATTCCTCCAACTATCGGTTTTTCGTGAAAGCCTGAAAGAAGCACTTAGGGTAGAACAAAATTTTCAAAAGTCTTCTAGTAGCAAAAGGACGAGAGTGAAAGGTTGCTTCAAGCACAACCTTCTCTACCCAAATTTCTTCAGTGTCGTACGTGCCACTTGTTTCCTACTATTCATAGCACTAGCCCAATAGACTACGTATAAACGGAGCATCCCTGAAGGAGACGATTTGCTCTGAAAATGGTCACTTAACAAGAACCAAATTTCTTGATATCTGTTCATATGCATTTAAGGGGTTTGGCATAACTGAAAACCATAGTGACCCTTCACGCTGTGAAATTTTGTCTACCAACGACGTGCTATTTCTCATGGGAA